ACATAAAAATTAAGGCAAAAACGGCAAAGAAAATTTTGACTTTTTTTGGGCTGTTTATGGACATTGTCACTTTTCAATTTTTTTATTATTTTTTTTTTTTAAATATCAATAAAATTGTATTTGTTGGGTAAAAAAGCTTGAAAATTTAATGCAAGGCTCTTGATATATTGTTACAATAGCAGTGAAAAAATTAAAAATACATATAAACACAATTTTATTTTCGAATTTTGACAAAATTTATCAAATATATTATTTAATAATTATTTTTTAGTTAAAAATTTATAAAATGTTCAACTTTTATAGCTAAGGATTGAAAATGTATAACAAGGTTCCACGTAAATTACTTTATTCACAATAATATCATCCAATATGCTTAGTAACTACCTAATATCATATAGGCTGACTGACCGTTTTCGCTCAGAATAATTTTTCTGATATAATGATATTATATCATTGAATTCAAATTTAACACTATCCATTACTTAGGATTTTTTCGAGGCCCAGTGCGAAAACCAGTTTTCAAACCAATTTTACCACTTTTTTTAAAACGCGAGGCCTCCAAATATAAGCAAAAAGCGCGAAGCCCTGCACACTGGTAACCTAACGTACTATTCCATTAGTTGTAGTTGTTTATTTATGAAAATTTTGTTAAAAACACAGATCACGATGATACATTGTTTTAATTATTGTATGACAGCATACCTACCAATGTAATCTATAAAAAAATTACGAAAATTAATAGTTATCATTGATTGACAAAATTAGTAAATGACGGCTAATTTCCATATCATAGTCATGTAATGCAAAAAGACCAAGTATAGGTACTCAAACAAATTCTTACCAAAAACAAAAAATTATTATTTATATAATCTACACTGGCTCCTGGTCGCCCCCCTAAATGTGTCAAAAATTGGCCGCCCGGGGCAAATGTCCCCGTTGCCCCCCCCCCTTAGATACTGCCCTGGCAGTATCTATCTTGTTTGATGGGAAAGTGAATCTAGTTGGTGCATTCAGGAGGTCAAATTTTTAAATTTATAATATTTTTCAAAAGCGCCGTGCAAAATTACATAAAAATGAAAAATTAAGGAAAAATGGGAATTTTTAAGCAAAACCTTTTTTCACAATTTTGGTTTTTGGTGTTATTTTAAAACATCAGCCCACCAATCCGAATACTCAAATTTCCGAATATGCCGACGACTAAGTCATATTCTCCTCTTACACCGACCCGGGCTTAGTTTCAACCCCTCTCCAAAACCACCTAAATGACCTATCATACTGGTACTCTCACAGGCGTGTCAAAATAAACAAAAGTAAATCTATCTTTGTTCTCCTCCAGTGCAAATAAACAACAAACCTATACCAAACTCCGATATAGCAAAATATCTAGGTCTAGTTTTCGACAAACGTCTAACGTGGGCCAAACACATTCATGCAACAAAAATAAAATTAAACAAACGACTCTACGCTCTCAGACCCATCCTTGGTAAGTTCTCAAAACCATCCCTCTGAACCAAAATTCACATATATAATCTCCTCCTTAAACCAATATGGTTATATGGTATACAGGTCTGGGGCACTGCCAAAAATCAAACATTCAAAAAATCCAAGTATTCCAATCCAAAATCCTCAGACTTATAACTAATTGTCCTCCTCATATCTCTAATCACACCCTTCACACAGATCTCCATATTCCTAAAGTCACTGAAACATCAAAGTTATTTTATTCCAAATTCAGAAACCGCCTTCATAACCACACAAACCCTCATGTTAAAAAGTTACTATCCATCTCCATCCCTGGAAATCCCCCTAGAAGGCTCAAGCGACAATGGCCTCGAGATCTTATAAATTAAAATCATAAAATTGTAAATTCACGCCTAAGTGCCTTCGCTAGTTGGTTCTTCCCTCAAGATATTCACCCTCATAAATTATAATTTTAAAAATAACCATAATTCATGCTTATTGTACTTTTTTTTTTATGTACAGATTGTATTTGTATAGTTTCTAGATTAAAAATAAAAATATAATTTATATATAATATAAATACCCAGTAATATGGTTTAAAATAATAAAAATTATTGAACACAGGAAATAGCCAATAGCTTTTCTATACATAGAATTAAATTGTTAGGTACTGAATTGATAGAATTGTGTAGTAGGTACCAAAATCATTCTAGAAAAAATAACCTCATGGAAGGGGGGGGGTATATACTCATATCCCCCCATAATTCTGCCACTGTTAACCCTACATAATATATTCCATATTATATCTACTCAGTTATTACTCAGTGTCTCAGTCTTTATTATCTATGTGGCCACTGACCAACATACGGAAAGTTATTACAATATTTAAGATTAACCAAAGTTAACCCAAAAATTAACTTGCTCAGCCAGTGGCGTCCGCAGGATTTTTCAATGGGGGGGGGGGGCTTGATAATTAGTTACATTTTTATTTTGTCCAGTTTAATAATTTCAGACGTTTATTTGAGGTATTTTAAAATTTTTGTAACTTTTCAACTTTCTGGTAGAAAAATCATAAGCTTCGATGCGCAGTGTATGTTTTTGGAAGCAAATTGGATCTAGTTGGTACTTTTAGGGGGTTGAAATTGAAAATTCTCAGTGCTTTTAAAAATAATTGGAGAAAAAAAATGAAAATTTATTTAAATGTTTGGTTATACCGTCTTCACTTGGATTGTATTTGAATAATTAAATTTTTTTTTCTATATAAATGTTAATAAAAAATTATATTTAATTATTATAACATAATTATATTTATCCGGTCAAAAACCTTAAAAATGTAATATGTAAGTTATTTTATTATAGCTAAAATATTAACGATACATAGGCAGTTTTTGAAAATTTCATGAAATTTAAAAAAATGAAATATTTCAGTATTTTGATATATTTTTAAATAAGTTTTATATTTACATATAATTGTCATAAATTACCTTCATAACTATATAGTACCTGTATATACATAGGTATACACCTATCCTTTGGTATTATACATTTAAAATGGTATTCAAAATTTTTAAATATTTTAATCTTTAAATTATACAAGTAGGTATACAATATTATACATGTTTATTGTATAAATACTGAATTCTGTCATTAGAATTTAGAACACTGAACATTGTGTTAAAAAAATAAATAAATTGTGTTTTTATTTGTGTAAAATAATTTCAAAGTGTCACGTTTTTGTGGAATATTTCATACTTCAAACACTACATAGGCACCATGGTTATTTCTTATAAGCATTTAAAGTTCAAATTTTGTCAAAATGACAGTTAATTTGTAGTTCAAAACTTATAAAATATAAAATATATTATATAGCTAAGGCTAGACCAGGGATCGGCAACTGGCGGACCGCGGTCCGGATCCGGACCGCGGAAGGAAAAACTATGGACCCTGTCAACACATTGTACTTCATTATGTTATTTTCTATAATAGTATTATTATTAATACAGACATTTATTTAATTTAATTTATCAAACTCAGATTATAGTTATATCATAATTCATTGAAAAATATTTTATCGGACAGGTAATAATCGGTTAGGTTGTTCTCCACGAGTTCCCGATTTCAAAAAGCTAGGGTAAGCTGGCTAAGGAAAAGAAATGCAATTTTTCGCATTAAATAATTTACTGTAATAAATATATTTTTTTTCATACTTTTATTTTAACCTAACCTAACCTAACCTAATCTTTGGAATTTTTAATATAAATTAATTGTAATAACTGAATAATTATTTTTATTTTTAAACTGCTATTTTTAAAATATAAAGATTTAAAAAATATTTTTTTCACTGGACCTCATTGATTTATTATTTTAATCTTTAGGACTCCAATAGAAATTACTTGCCGACCCCTGGGCTAGACAATTTAATACAAGGTCTTTCATACAAGTAGTTTATACTTTTACCTAAAAATTACAGATAATTTATGAAAATTGGTATGCAAATACAATGTTCTTTCAAAAATGAATTCATTCTGGTAAGACATATATGAAATTTACATCTTGCTTACTATAGTTGACAGTTTAACTTGATTAATATTTTTTTGAAAAAGTAACAATAATACGGGCAATGGGGGGGGCTTCAGCCATTTAGCCCCCCCCCCTGCGGACGCCACTGTGCTCAGCTATGGTTATCGACTACTGAGCAACAAAACGTTACCTAATCCCTATTATACATTTGAATTCAATTTCCTGTATTTGTGTCAAGTGGAACCAAAAAAACGCTTAGATTTTAGAGAATGTGAAAATATCCATCAATAGGTTATAATTAGTCATAAATAATCTACGGAAAATGACAATCGTCGAGACGAACAACGATTTCAATATTATTTCGTTCCATTCAGGTCATTAAGCTACCTATTTACAGAAATGACAATAATCTGTATTCTATAGTGTTGATCATAATAACGTGCATTAATATAGATAAAATAATAGTAATTGATTATGAAATGAATGGACACCATTTCAAGTTGACCTTTATTGAATAAAAATGTAACATAGATTGATCTTTTTTCCTAATCTTCTATATTATAATACTTAGACAATTATGATGGAAATAATAATTTTAGTTTAGAAAACAAAGTATAATAGAATAATAAATACATATAAATTTATGGTTTTGGGGGTGTTTTGGCATATACCATAACACTTTGACAATTATAAATAAATATTACACTTAAACTCAACCAATAATTGTGGATTAAAAAAAAAAAAAACTAAACATATAGGTACCTACTCAATGTGTATGTGTACAAATTAATATAAAAAAATAAAATTACATTAAATTTTAGTTGAACTGAATTAATCAGTTATGGAATCTGTTACTATTTTTAACTGCAAAAAAGTTTAAAATTAAAATGAATTAACAAATAGTTTGTCATTGTATTAAAAATCAAACATTCATTGTTAACAATGCTTATAAGAAAAATAATATAAATTAATTGACTTTTCAACCCACAATAAAACACATACAATTAATATAAGTCATTCTACACCATAAAATTGGGATCCAAGTAGTTTTGAGTTTTAAATACTAATGGGACATAATTTTGATCAATAGGATTGTTAATATTATCATCATTCGCCTGAACGCTTCTAATAGGAGTAACCGTGTGATCCAATGGATGTGGGGGTTTTTCGAGAATGTTCCTTACTGTGTCTACTATACAATCACCACAAAAATTAGAGCTTTTACCAATAGCGGGACAGTCATTGCAATTCCACCTTGTTCCAATAATGGGAGATGACTGACATACGCAACATGTATAATCCACATGCACAATTGGACAATTTTTTTCTGCTAGTTTATCTTGTAATACTTCATTTAAGATTGCTAATTTTGTCTTATTACTCATTTCAATATTTTTGTGACTTACATTGAAGTTATTTCTATTAGCATTATAAACATCAACGTCATCTATTAATGTTGTAGATGGTATAAATGTAGTTGGTTTTAGTAATGCACCAATATTTTTATGACTTAATGATACAGTTTTTTTATTTAAATTTTTTGAATTTGCATTAATAGATTTTATTGAACCAACTTTTTTCATTTTCATATTATACTTTTGAACTCTACTACAGACCTGTCTCAAATTTCTTGTACCTAAAGCGTCAGCTATTTTTCTATACCTGTTACTTTCATTTCTTTCTGGTGGATATTCAATCAAAAGTTCTTCAAGACGCAATTGTTCTTCAACTGTCCAAGGTTTTTTAAATGTTTCAGGTTTTTCTACCTCTGAAGTTGTAATGTTTGTCTGTGTTTCTTGTTTATCAGAAATATTTTTATGTCGTAAATTAATATCATATACTTGTTTTATTGGCTCATTTTCTGTTTCATCATTGGTTATATACACCGACCAATCAATATCTGGTAGTGAATGAATATTAACTGACTTTAACGTACCTATGTCTTCACGTTTTAGAACTTTTTTCAATGTCAAAGAAGGATTTTTTGAAAATTGATCCTTTAACACTGCAAGTTTTTCAATATTTTGAATTGTTGTACATCTTTGTACTTCAAGTATAGCTAAGGATTTCAATAAATTTTTATAATCATTATTATTTTTTAATAAATAAAAGTCTGTTTCAAAATAAAATTCTGTTGCTTCCAAGGCTTTTGAATCGGATACATTGGTGTCATTAAATTGTTTGTCCATTATATAAATTAACTGAAAAAAAAAAAAAACAAAATTTAGAAATACAACAATAACGAAGCTAACAGTTGGTATAGCTTAATTACCTGACAAATAAAATAATATTAAATATTATTATTGATCATACTATTAATTTCTTAGTTACGAAAATGTATCATCAGTCGTCACTAACAGGTAACGACTGACGATACAAATAGAACTTTTAAAATAATTATTGACTGAATTAAACAAAATTGAAAACAATAATTATTTTTTATTAGTTATTGCTTCATTAGTAGGTAATCGCCAATCGGTGAATAATAATATTAGTGTTTACATTAAACTTGTGGCCACGGACAAATATATAATGGTAAATGTAAAATGGACTGTAATCGACATCGTGCTGTGGCAGTGTGGCCCACGATTTAAGATATGAACGAGTTATCATTTTATCAGTAGTTTAGCAGGCTAGACAATTTAATATTTATAATTAATCAATTACCGCACTCCGCACACTTTAATCATATTATCGTTCTGTGATGGGATCACAATAGTGAATAGAATAGATGAAAGATTTCATCTTTTCTGTGATGGGATGTTCTATGAACATAAATTTATATACTGCACAGTGCAGTACGCAACGGACTATCCAAAAACCACGGTTATAGCAGTTATAGCAAATATTATAGCACAAAACCCACTCTTTGGTTATAAAGTAGAACGTGCCGAACTGCCGAAAATTACTGAAAACAATTTATCGTTTGATAACGACATTTCCTAGCAAATTTGTATATTTTATTCCATGACACAAATACTCACCTACCACCACCACAACTATCACCGTCACTGGGCTAGAGGCATCCTGTATATCTGTGATCTAAAAGAAGAAAAAAATTCCATACTTTGATACTTTCATTTCCCAGTTTGCTTCACTCGTTCTCTTTAATGTCGTGCAGCGAATTGCGATAGCAATCGTCCCTTGGATTCGATATTTTTTTTCAAATTTTTTTTTTGTTATTTATTTATCGTCTAAGTAAACAATTTTTTTTCTGTTTGTTCAACTATTTGATTTCGTTGCAGCCAAACGAACACCAACGTCGTAGGTATATTATTTTCATACTTCAGTTTAACGCTCGCATAGGTCCGTCGTTTACATACGCGCTAAAAATCCTTGCCTGTTACGGGACACCAACTACAAGGCACAGCAGCAGAGCTTCGCATTCGGTGGCGGTTATCACCGTTCAATAATAACAATAATAATAATAATAATAATAATAATAATAGTTACTAGTGTAATAGGTATATTAACAAATTTACAAATAACAATAACCGTCCGTCCGTCAGTGGTCAGTCGCGCACAGAAAACAATAACGATATCGTCTTGTCCCACCAACAGGAGACTACTGTTTTTGTTCCTGATCATCTGCACTCTGCGTGGATCCTCTGACAGCTATAACTGTCCGTGTTGGCGTGTCCATTGTGGTCTGTGTGTTATATGCCCGATATTGCAGTCTGAAAAAAACGGCTTCCGGACATTCGGTTTTTTTGTCGTTCCCGAAGGCTTGTTCGTCGTCGACATGTCCGAAACGGTCAACGACAACGACAAGTCATCGAGTCTGGCGGTTGATGGCAACAATGAAGGTAAGCACACAAGATATGCATTACATTTTAAATTACGTGTATGTAGGTAATTTTATAAAACTAACTAGGTACACCGTTAAGAATAATCACTATCACTATGGGTAAATCCGACCTAGAACCGGGAAACCAATTTTTAAAGTTGTTTCTTTTTTGCTCATCGCTCTTCACACTTCTCTTATTTAACATATTGTTTTTTTGCCTGACTAGTATCGAATATCTAATGAATCAGTATTTTAACTTGTGAAATATACTTCTGGCACATTTTATGTTATAATTATTTATAGGTAGGTACCTAATGAAATCAAAAATAGCTTATTTAAAATGTATTTGTATTTTAAACCGTCAGGTGTAGTTAACTCAATAATTAATTAAAATATTGTACCTTAGACCTACCTAATGTATTTAATATTGTCTTATAAATTATCTTAGTTGTATAGGTTGGTTAAAATTAACAACAATTGATGTGCCTATCCTATTTTTCTGTTTAATGTAAATTGCATTTTAAGTGTTTTGAGTATCAAAATTAAGTATACTATAAATATTAATTAATAAATAAGAGGATTAGGAGGTATTGGTGATCAAATATATTAGGTATATTTTAATTTCTTATCACTGTATAGGTAAACCATGATTCATGTTGTTAGAATTTTATTTTTATATTATATAGGTAGATAGGTAAGTCCTAGTTAAATTTATTTTCCAAAATTAAAAATTTTTTAATGGATATTAAATGTTAAGTGGATGTCAGCTCAATATTTGTTTTCTCTCTGAGACCCATATGCAACATAGATCAAATGCATTCATGTAAAATCGTTTTTTTTTATAATTTTGAGTTATTGTAGAGTAAAATCACCTAGGTACCTATTAAAAAAATTATAGAGGATAATATTTTTGATTGTTGGACCTATCTGTATTTTTTTCTTATTACTTTACTTTAAAATCGACATAAAAAAAAAAAAGTTTGTACATTTAGGTAAATGGTTATTAAGTTGTTTAGAGATAATATTTAGATAAACTGATATATCTTAGCATTAATATTATTATTCTCTTTTGTTTTTTCCTATTTTTACTATGGGTAATTTTACTCTAAGATTACTCAAAACCATAAAAATTGATTTTATGTGAATGTGTTTTATATTTTTATCTAAGTTGTGCATAGACTTGAGAGAAAAAACCAACAGTGCACTGACAATCCTCTTGAATCTTGATGCTTATAGATATTATGTATTCTATTGAATTTATGATCACTTAACAAGTACCTATTAATTATAGGCTAAATTTTTTGATTATAAAACTGCAAATAATTTAGATAAATTAGGGAAGAAACATGTCTTATGAATTAAAAAAAAATTTTATCTACTGTTCAATAATAGGTAAATAAAATATACCTGATTAAAAAGTAAAAACATAAAAAATCATTAATAAGGATATATTTCGAGATATATTTTATCTAAGCCATTCATTTTAATTTTTGAATATACTGATGTATATAAACTGATTAAAATCTAACCTAACTGCAAGACACTTTTTTGGAATAATTCTCCCATAAATTTCTCTGAAATTTATTTGATTTTATGCGGTTTGTTTTATAATATGTTACTCAATTTATCTATGACAATTGACAATATTTTTATTGTAAAATAGGCATGTAACTATGTTATATCTGGTACATATTTAAATAAATAATTAATGTTAGTATTTTAAAAAATGTAACAAACTAAAAATTCTAATCAATTAAAAATATCTATTCATATTAATAAGCATCTAAATAAATCTAATCCTCCTCCTCATCACAATCAATCAAGAATCTAATTAAATAAGAATTATCCAAATATTAAAAAATCCAAATATAATTATTAGGTACCTAGATACTAATAATATGATTTATTATTAATATATTTATATTATTGTACTTACATTGTATTAGATTTTCTGTGCTGATATTCATTTTATGTAATTGATGCCAATTTGTTGATAGATTAATCATTTTTATATTTAAATCAGAGTATCAGGTAAAAAATATTAATTATAAAAATCTAATCTAAATATAAGTAGATTTTTATATCAAATGTTAAATAATATAAGGTACTCTTAATTTGTCATTATTTCATATAATTATATTCCTACCAATTAAAGCAGACATTGGTTTGTGTATGGACATATTCAGAATTATTATTTTTAAGGTTAATTTTTGAACGTATCATTCAATTTAGGGTTTTAATCTATATTCTATGCCATTATCTATTATTGACAATAACTAATAATCTGGTTTTGCCACACTTTTAAAAAAACTTGTTTTCCCAATACATTATAATCAAACATTATCTAAACTAAAACATATATCCATTATTGAATTCTTTGCCATAATATACAAATGACAAAATTAGTTGAATCTTTGTTTGATGCCTTATTTACTTACTATGGTACTTTTAATTTATAAAACTAAATATCAGTTCAGCTATTTAGTTTTATTCTTATACTTGTCTTTATCTGTTTCATTAGGAAATATTTTGTTCAATGCTACTATAGATTATATTATTTTAATTATATTTAAATTAATTGAATTTTGAAATTACAATCAATAATGACTAAAATAAAAGAAATATTCACCTTTGCTTGTTAGTGGGACTACCATGTTATTTTTATATTGTGTTAAACTGGTAATATTATGTAGGTACCTACTACCTATATTGTATAGGTATCACTAAGTATTCCATTTGTTCACTTTGTTACTCCAAGGGATACCTACTCCCTTAACAATAATTGTAAATTATGTATTTCATTTTTAGTTCAATTTTCATATTAAAACATAACTTAGGTACTCATACATTGAATGTTAATACAACTACCACTTTATAGATTTGTTTCGAGTGTTTAACTTGTTCAGAACTAGTCCTGATATAACTTGTAATATTGTTCCATTGGTAAATAGATCAAGTTCATTACAAGTTCAGGATGGTTCAATTGGTTTGCTTTAACACTGAAACACTTAAGACCTTATAATTATTATACTTTAATTTTAATTGAAATGTTAGATAAATCATATTTTTATAGTTAGATGCATTATTTAATGGTAGGTAGTGTTTTTTTTTTTATAATATTATGCAATTAATTAATATAATTTTATTTGATTATCATTTTATTATTTTATATATGCATATAGGTAATATATTTTATAATGTGTTATATAATTCTATATTGTCTAACCTGAAGGAAATATTTGAAAGTTAAAAATAATTAATTACCTAATCAATAGTTTTTATTTAAATGCTGAAATTAAAAATTATACATAATACCTAAGTAATAACATTAAATGTCTATTATATTCGTATGTACTTATCAAAGCTAATGTAAAATAATTAGCCAAGTTTATTTATAATAAT